CTTTTTCAAAACAACTGAAGTAACATAATTGATTGTTGTATAGAATTGAACGATATGCCTGGAAGCTACATATAAGCTAAAAATTGGTGCGGTAGAAGCTGACTTTCAGACCCATCACATAAGTACTAAAAGATGATACACGATGTCACATGCAGAGGTGCATAATTTTATTTTCAGGATTTGACCAGAATAGCTTTAACTCATCAAAAGATGACCTTAGGGTGTTTTGGGGACCAAACTTGAAACATTTGTTTCAGCTGGTGTGGATCACTTTCACACTGCACGGTGTCATATGAAGCAAACCCTGTGAACAACCTGTTCACCCCCTTTGTTGCTGGAACAGGAACCATTGAAGGAATCGACACAAAAACCTCTGAAAAAAACAATGAAAGCAATTCTTCTTCACAAAATGTAAAATAAACTGTGAATGATGAGTGACATCAGATTTATATACGTATATACTGTATATATATATACAGTATGTATATGTATATACTGTACATACTGTATATATACAGTATATATATATATATATATATATATAATTCTAATTTTGCATTTGTTTCCTGGTTCTTCATTCGTGCTGAAGTGACTAAAGACAAATTCCTCCAGCTGGTCATAAAATAAATGCGGTCGGCCCCTCCACTGCTTAGCTTATGAAATGTACTGTGGAGGAAAAAAGTTCCAGAGTTTTTTACTCTGATATATAATCACAAACTACAACAGGGCTATTCATCTGGCGGCCCGCGAGTGACCAAAGTTCGGCCCGCCAATTGGTTCATTCATCTCTTAAGCCCAAACCCCCGGTTTTCTACTTTAAATACTATGAGGTCTTTTAGTTAAACATATGTTTGGCATCTACAGAAACGTCAGAATCTTGGCTACAAGCTGGYAAAAACCATTTCTATGACCACTCAAGACAGTTAAAATTACAAATAGTTAAATAAAAAATAATGAAAGTAAAAATAAAATTGGTTTAAAAATTTGGCAAGTCAGAGATGTCAAAATATTATTTATGTCAAACAGGAGGCATAATGTGTTCATTTTGATACTGTTTTATTATCACTACTTTTATAGGGTTCTGTATGTTGTATTAATGATTAAATGCAGCAAAATAAACTCATTCAAAGGTAACAGATCTTTGTACTTAGTTTATTTACATAATGACTTTAATTGCTGGATGTTTGGCCCCTGAGCTGTTGACCTGCAGTAACTGTGGCCTCCAGAGCAGTTTAGTTGAATAGCCCTGAAATACAGGATATGCCATATGCTGACTGGACAGAACATCAGTACCAGTAATATCTACACAGTTCAGCCTAGTAGTGGTAAAGGTAATTTTACTGTTGTCCATTATATTTGCCTCTCACAATATTATCCTAACATGATATCACTATTAATAAAAAAAATAACAATTTGTTGGAACAGCAAATTTGTCTTTTCGTTGCTTTACCCGACATAAGATTGTCAAAATCAAGCTAGCATAGCTGACCTACTTTCCACATTTCTGACATTTTTTAAAATAAAAAATATTTTAATGACCTGTAAAATGTGATAACTTTGATCTTGTCATCTTGTTGTTGTAGTGTTGACAATTTATGGCAAAACATTGCATCCCTTTTTGATATTCCTTGCATGACTGTCTGCTGCATCCCCCTTTTTACCACCATTCATGGATGTTCCCGAGTCAAAACTCAATGCATAGCAATGGCACCTGTGTGGCGCACGGGATGTCCAATCCAGTAATATAGATCAATGGAATACACCCTTCCCCTGAAACCCACTGACATTAAACACTTAGGGAGATAGGCATTTTGTCAAGGAGGGTTAGGTCTTTCTGAAACCAAAAAAATAAAATAAAATAAAAATAAAATAATCTGCATTTTGACCTGCCCGGGTCAGTTTACCCCCTCGCTGCTGCATTACCATCACACTTTGTAATCTTTTGTCAAAGGAGCTGTTGGCTCTCAGCTCCCTGTGGTGCTGTGTATTATCTGGATTTCTCAGCATGCTCAGTGGGTAGAAAGACCTTTTTAATAGTGCAGTCACTTCTCATGAAGACACACAGGAGAATATATCTGCTGCTGGCCTTATCATTGACGGGGAGGAGGTGTGAGGTGTAGGGAAGGAGGTGGAGGGGGGGGGGCAGAGTTGCTTTTAGATGAAGTGGGGGACACTGCTGGTGCACTTGGCCTCTCTTTGGTTTCTCTCTTTGACTTTCAAACACAAACTCGCCTGCTGCCTGTGTTGCCAAGGTGTCCCCGCGGGAAGGACCTCAGCACTTTATCAAGTTCCCCTCTCCCCTGTGAGCTGAATTATGTGGCGCTACGATCCGAGTTTCCCGCTTCACGTTAAGACTTTCTGTCTGCCAAGCACGCGTCAGCACAAACGTCTCGCTTCCCTGCTCAAATTCTGATTACCAATTACCCCGGACTTAGGCAGGATTACGATGTGGCACCTTAAATGAACTTCATCATGTTCATGATGGAAAAGGCCCCAGTCGGTTTGGAACAAGCGGGCGGTGTCATTAAGACTTCCACTGACCAGGATGAACAGTTGGAGTCTGTCCATACTTTTGATTCATTAACTGTACACTGAGTTTCATAATGACGTAAATGATTGTCAAAGCATCATAAAACCTACCAGAAATGTCAGGGTTCAGATTAAAAAGCACATACCGGTAAGTTTCATCTAATTAAAGCCCAATCTTTTCTTCAAGGAATGCATATCTCCTTCTGCCTTTCATGTCATACATTTAAACTGTTATTCTGTTTAACCAAACCTTAAAATCTTTCAAAGAATGTGTTGAGGATGATTCTCAGTTACTATAAAACCATTTTTTTAGGTGTATTGATTAAAGATAAGCTGTTACGGCCATCTTCATTTGGGGATACTCCACAATTTAATCAGTTATAAATGCAAACAATGATTACTTTATGAAAGTTTCATTAAAATCCACATAATGCTTCATGAGATATTTTGTGAACGGTACGGACAAATCTCAGCCTTAAACCAGAGTATGAACAGAAACAAATCTGCATTTGCAGATAGAAGCGTGTGGAGATGTTTACGTGTGTTTATCTACCTCAAACAAGAGCATAACGTTTTTTTAAGTAAAAGAACAAGGACATCTAACTATTATTCTAAAGGGGAAAAGCAACTGCTTTGCATTTATTTTATATTTTTAATCAACTATTCCATCATTGTTGAATTTGTTTTAAAAGCTCTGTATAGTTTGATTTATAATCCGAAGGCCAACAATAATCTCCTGCCGTTATAAATTTAGTAATGAAGTGTTTCTAAATGAAAAAAGCTTTTCTGTTTTTAATAGCATTTACACAGACTACGGTAAGTTCAGTGACTGACACCAAGCTCTGCTGTTGAAAATCTATTGCCTGCAAGAAAATATCCTCTGTGATGAAATTAAAAAAAAATATGATTGTATGCAGGAATAGTAAATGATCAAAACTCCAGATGAACTCTTGTGTAAAACATCTGTTTATTAGAAAAATCTAATTAACACTGGGCTGCAGGTGGGCTCGGGGCTTGGAGGGTTGCTGGGGTTGGGGCTGGCGCTCCGTCCTCCCTGGTGCTGCTTGGACTCCTGGGGTCTGGCTCCTGGTTGCCATGGGTGGCCCACTGGCCTGGGTGGCTGCCAGCGTCCAGTGGGTGGTTGGTTGGGGGTGTGCACTTGGCCATTGGCGGTGTGTGGAGGTGGTTGTGGACGTGGCTTCTCTGCGGCGGGGGGGCTGGCCGGGTGGCCTGCTGTGGCCCGGGCCAGGCCTTGGCTATCTGCTCCTCTCCACCCCAGAATGATTGGGTCTACCCCCTGGGTTCATGTGTGTGCTTCCTCCTGTAGGGGGCGGGTACCTGTCCTGGACCTGGGGGGTATAGAGTGTGTATCGGGAGCATGAGTGGAATGTGGCGTCCTTCTTGTATGTCTTTGAATGAGTGGGTATGGGGATGATGGTGGGTTGGTGCGATTGTGTATTTGTGGGTATTTGTCAGGCCGGGGCCTGGGCCACCCCTGCTGTTGGTTTGTCTGAGGGTCCGCTGCTACTCTGCCCCCTGGTGGGGTGTGCCGTTGACCGCCAGGGTGCTGGTGGTTCTCGGGGTCTGGGGCCGGTCGGGGTCCTCTGTGTCTGCCTTGTGTCTTCGGGGTTGGGTCTTCGGTCTTCCACAGTCACTTTTAAAGGGATCCCCGATTAGTTGTAACATTAGACTTTATATGACGAACATACACTTTAACTGTAAAATCAAGACTGTAAAAATACTGTAGGATGTTCGGTTTTTATCATTTTTAAACTAAAAGTTTAAATATATATTACACGGAGGAGGCCATTTTATTTACACACAAAGCATTCTGGGTAAATGATGACATCAACTAGGTCATCGGTGTGAGGCTGCTAGCGAGCTACATCCACCCTGAAGGTTAATCTCGGCAAGAGGTGTGAGGTTAGCCTTAGGGTTTGTGGTCAGGGTTAGGATATAAAATTACCAAAACTTGAATGCAAGTCAATGGACGGGCCCCACTAGGATATAAAAACAAGTTTGT